GACAGAGCCTCAAGCTGTCCCCCTGGGTAGAGTGCTGTGGCATCACAGCTCACAGCAACCTCCAACTCCTGGGCTTAAGCGAGTCTCCTGCCTCAGCCTCCCAAGTAGCTGGGACCACAGGTACCCACCACACCTGGCTATTTTTTGGTTGCAGCTGTCATTGTTGTTTTGTGGGCTGGGCTGGGCTGGATTTGAACCCACCACCTTAGGTGTATGTGGCTGGTGCCTTAGCCACTTGAGCCACAGGCGCTGAGCCCATTGTTGTTTACTTTCTGAGTGTACTAAGCCAAACCCTTACAGAAGCAGGATGGTTAGGTGTGGTTGCAGCTCAGGTCTACAATCCCAGCAATCTGGGAGAGAGGACTGCTTCAGCTCAGGAGTTTGAGATCAACCTGAGTAAGCGTAAGAACCCATCTCTACTAAAAATAGAAAAATTAGCCAGGCCTGGTGGTGCATACCTGTAGTCCCAGCTACTCAGGAGGCTGGGTGCAAGAGGATGGCTTGAGCCAAGCAGTATGAGGCTGCTGTGAGCTAGGCTCATGTCCTGACACTCTAGCTGGGGTGACAGTGAAACTTTTGTCTCAGAAAAGGGAAGCAGGATGTTAACTAGAGCCCCCTGGAGAACATCTCTCATCTCTCTCAGATCACTGTTACCATAGAAATACAGACCCAGTATTAACCACAACTGATTTTTTTTTTCAAAAGAAGGTAGAAATGTGTTTAGTTTTTAAATGCAAGGCATATAATTTTAAACAGCACCAGCCATTGAAAACACCCAGTGCCAGTTGTCAAACTTGGACTTAAATTTCCTTCCAAAGCATAGCCTTGTAAAAAACATAAATGGCCTTAGTGGTACTTTCTAGAATTTAGCTGTCACTTCTCTTTGAACTCTTGGATTCATTTAAGAGCAGGTTATTCCCATGGGGAGTGGCACGGAAGTGGTCCATGTGGGAAGGCTAGTTTAGTCCTTGCCCAGTCTACACACACCTTATCTTTGCACTGTCGCCCTGGGCACAGTGCCGTCATGGAGTCATAGCTCACAACCTCCAACTCGTGGATTCAAGGGATTCTCTTGCCTCAGCCTCCCAAGTAGCTGGGACTACAGATGCCCGCCACAATACCTGGCTGGTTTTTTTTTTTGTTACTATTGCAGTTGTCATTGTTTTAGCTGGCCTGGGCCGGGTTTGAACCTGACAGCCTCAGTGTATGTGGCTGGTACCCTACCCACTGAGGTACGGGTGCTGCTTAGCTCTTGTTGATTTTGAAGGGAGGAGTAACAAATGAGATTATAGGATGTGGTCCTTCAGAACACAGAGAAAACGATAAAGACCTCTGGAGAATCATGATACTCAAGATTAAAATCAAGTTGTTTTTTTTTTTTTTTTTTTGAGACAGAGCCTCAAGCTATCCCCCTGGGTAGAGTGCCATGGCATCACGCTCATAGCAACCTCCAACTCCTGGGCTCAAGTGAGTCTCCTGCTTCAGCCTCCCAAGTAGCTGGGACTACAGGCGCCCGCCACAACACCTGGCCATTTTTTGGTTGCAGCCATCATTGTTGTTTGGCGGGCCCGGGCTGGGGATTTGAACCTGCCACCTTAGGTGTATGTGGCTGGCGCCTTAGCCACTTGAGCCACAGGCGCCAAGCCTAAATTCAAGATTTTAAAAGAAAGGGGAGTTAGTGGAAAGCTAACTAGGGGAAAGCTACTATTAAAATGTAGTGGGATTTTAATTTTCACATTTATAGGTAAAGTAAACATGATTTATAAAGTTCTATACTTCTGTAATTGTTTTTATCCTTGTTTTAAAAGTCCAGTATAAAAATCTTATATTTTCATTCATTAAAATATCTCTAGTAAGACAGAGAACCTGCAGACAAACTATAGCAGCATTCTGGGCATTTACCCTGATAGTGCCTGGAGGACCATTTCGTGGGGTTCTGACAGCCTGGCCTACCCCCTGCATCCAGGCTTAGAGCTGACAATGACAATCATCCTGACATTTCTGGAGGTGCTAAACTGGAAAGTCCTGGAAAATTTTGGAGCTGCTGGAGACCCTAAAAGCCTGAGCTAAGCTCACATGAGATTAAGAAAATGGCCCAGTAACTTTGGTCAAGCTTTTAGATGACCAGAGCTTTGGCCATGGTAGAAGCCAGAAATGATACTGGTGTTTTCTGCTGTGAGTAGTTTGTACTGGGTTCCAAGTAATGGCTAACTTTGCTGGCTCTATTCATGGTTTAACACCAACGTAACAGTGCCCCAAACCAATCTTACTACTATGAATCTGCTTTTATTTATTTATTTTTTGACACAGAGTGTCACTGTCACCCGCGGTAGAGTGCTGTGGCATCAGAGCTTACAGCAACCTCAAACTCTTGGGCTTAAGTGATTCTCTTGCCTCAGTCTCCCAAGTAGCTGGAACTACAGGCGCCTGCCACAAAGCCTGGCTTTTTTGTAGTTGTTATTGTTTAGCTGGCCCAGGCTGGTTTCGAACCTGTTAGCTTTGGTATATGTGGCTGGTGCCATAACCACTGTGCTATGGGCGCTGAGCCAGAATCTGCTTTTAGAAACCTCAAGTATTCTTTGAGGTAAGGATAGGGAATCAGATTCTAAAGTACGTGCACATTGAGGGAAGAGCCCTGAATTTCCATTAATCCGTTAGCCTTGGTAGAGTGAATGGAACCAACTACTTTTAAGAGCCTGGTCAGCTTCAGTAAAGAGGTGGATATAAGGACCTTACATACAAGTACCTGCTTATCACATTTATCTCCTGCCCAGTTGAAGTGCATATAGGAAATAATTTAATTAGAAGAGGCCAAGAAAGTACCCAATATGTGATTTTTTTAAGTTGTTTTTAAAAAAAAAAACAATGCAGTAAATAGTTACCTGCATGCCCAGCTATAGAACTTAATATTGGGGTTGAGGGTGGGAATAGTTGACCTAATTTGGAATTCAGGTCTCTTTTCTTTCTTTTTTTTTTTTTT